ACGAGATACTTGCGGCACACTTAACGTTACATTCAAAAGGAATGGGTCCCCGATCAGTGGAGAACCTCTCGAACAATCCTGCTTCGTAAGAAGGGCGATAGGGAAGATCTTTGGAAATACCGTCCAATATGCCTGCTGAGTGTGCTTTACAAGCTCTTCACGAAGATTATTCTAACTCGTCTACCAAGGACACTGGATGAAGCCCAACCTGTATAACAGTCTGAACTTCGCTAGGGATTCACCTGCGTGGATCCCATCCAGACGGTTTCGAGGACTATCGAGGTTTGCCAAGAGTACCGCCTACCTCTCGTCCTAACCTTCGTCCACTATGAGAAAGCCTTTAACAGCGACGAGGCTAGCCATACTGTCAGCGCTCCTTGACTATGGGGTGGCATCTTATGTGAGGACATTGGCCGAATGCTACAAGAAATGCTCTACAACGGTACAGGTTTCCCATCGTCCCCTTAACATACCAATTTCAAAGGGGATTCGACGGCGACACCGTATCGTCAAAGCTGTTCACCGCCGCCTTGCAGTGGGTGATCTAATCACGGATTGAGGGTATACGAGTTGATGGGAGATCGCTCTCAAACCTTTATTTGCACGACATTGTTCTCTTCTCGAGGAATATCACTGAAGCGGAGACGATGGTGAAAGAACTAAACGAAGTAGGGAAGCGGATAGAACTGCGAATTTACAGGAAAAAAATTTAGTTCATAAAGAATGCTTTTTGCGAGGATCAGGAGGAATTTTAGAAATCCCTCCAAACGCGGAGACGTCTTCTTACGTATATCTCAGGCGTTCGATGAACATGGGGAACGATCTGAAAGAAACTAAACAACAAGCAGAACGCAAAGAGCAGCTTGGGCCCCTTCGGGCCCCTAAAGGAAGCCACAGACCAGCTGACGGACCCAGAGCTCCGAGCCCACCTGTTTCAACTGTTCTTTCTACCTTTGCTACGCAGCAGAGACGTGGTCTGACATTGTGGCTACGTCAAAGGCTCTAGCAACCCACATAGCGCTGGAACGACGTCTTCTGAAGTACA